CAACACAACTTCATAACCATCAATATTATAAATTACATGCAACATACACATTTCAAACATATCAAATGGTATTCAAAAACTCAATTACATATTAAATTACACAAATCAAACCATAAACCCTAAATCCCCTAATCTAGGTCGCATAGTGTCCTAGTTTAGCCTAACCATTTACCTCTAAAATTTAACCTCCATTTCACATATAACTCAACTACATTAAACATTAAAGTTAAAAATTAACTCAATTAGGTCTTAAGGAATTAATTACGCGTATGATTTACTAGTTGAGCCTAAACCCTAACTTTACAAATATAAGCAAATTTTTAGCTTTCAATGAACTTTCTCTTTCTCTTTCTCATTCATCTCATTACATTATCCGAAGTTTAAATTAACTAATTGAAGTGTTAAGAATAAATTAAAACCTAAACCCTAATTCCCTCCACTTTGGGTCGAATTCTCCCTTAACCCTAATCTAATTATTTTCTTCTCAATTCATCATAAATTTTCAACACCAAGCAATTCAATCACATATTAACAATAGAAATCAATTTAATTAAAATTCATAGAACAATTACATGCCTAAACCCGAATTGGGCCTTAATGGGCCGAAATTGGGCCTATGCAAAATTGAGCAACTTTCTTCAATTATCCTAGAATCTTTCTCTTATATTCATCAAATTATACTCATTCAACTACCAATTGAATAATAATTTATGAATTGGATGAAAGAATCAAAACCCTAAAATTTTAGATTTTGGTCGAATACTAACCCTAAGAAATTCATTGAATTTTCTTCAATGTAAATGAGATTTTTCACTTCCAAATACTCATTCACATCTAATTAATTCATAATCAAGCTATCAAATATCAATTACATCAAATGATCAAAAAGCCCTAATTCTCTAATTTGGTTCGAATGTTCACCTCTTCTTAAACCTAGGAATTTTTTATTTTTAAACCTCAAATTTAAGTTCAATTAACACTTTTCGACCTTAATTGCATGAGTTACTCACTTAATTTCATTTTTTCTAATTTTTCTTCACCAAAACCCTAACCCTAATTTTAAAAATTAAAGCTAAAAATCACAAATTAAAGCATAGAAATCACAAATTGACATCAATTAAATACTTCTTATGATGTAGTGTAATATAGGTAAAGTTAACGTACTCAATTAAGCTCCAAATTAACCTTGGAAACTTGGATGGTTTGAGAAATTTCTTCCCCTTTTTTCTCCACCATTTCGACCTAAGTCCAAGTTTTTTCCTCTTGATAAATTTTGATCTTTGAGATTGATTTTCTTGCTTGATTAGTTGATTTAACTTTTTAGAGGTGATTTAGTGGAGTCTGTGATGGAAATTCCTAAGAAAAATGTGCAAGAGTTTCCTTTGAATTTAGTTATTTTACAAGCATTTTCTTGAATTTCTTGCATCCATATTTATGGTCAAATTTTTGTTGACATTTGACCTCATCTCCACCCATGAATTCCTATGTTTTGGAGGAGTCCTAGCCCTTAAATTAATTTTAAATCCTAGCCCTTCAAATGGATAAATTTTTAGCCATTGACCTTCCTTTAATTTTTAGCCTTCGTCACGGCTAATTCTAATCTCTTCCTTTTATCCTAGTCAAAGCTCATTAATTAACCCTTAATCATGGAGCTAAAATTCAGCTAGAATGGTAGAAAAGTTCCCAAAATTTTGCTTAATTTTAATCCCTCATTTTACTAATCTTTTCTCTAATTAATCTTCCAATCATCCTTAAATTTATCAATTGATTACTTTAAGTCCTTCATCTAAAGATATCTTAACAACTTTTAAACTCCTTAGGTTCCTAGATAATTTAATTTAGAAGTTCAAACTTTTAATTTTATGTAATTAGATCCCTAATTCTAAAATTTTATTCTATACTTTTTCAAAATTCAATTTCTCTTCACAATAAATTCAAACACTTCTTAAAAGAATTTAATCATGATTTACATAATTTTTTATACCTTTATGTAGACCTCCAATTTAAATTTTCTAGTGTGGAAATACATTATTTTCTATAGAAAATATTCCTTATGTTTAGAAAAATTCATCTAAACTTATAAAATATTTCTACACATTTTAAATGATTTTTTATACCCTTTGAATAATTTTCTTATACCTTTAGTGCACCTAAATTAATTATTTTACCTCAAAAATACTATTCATACAAACTAAAATTCAAATGAAATATTCACCACATACCAGAAAATTCATAAAAAATCTAAAATAATTTAACACCCCTCTAAAAAAATTCTAAGTAGAAAAAATATTTTTCATGCATATATAATATGCTCAAAATAATTATTTCACATAAAAATCACTATTCCTACACTATAAAATCAATAAAATATTCATTGAGCATCAAAGAATTGTTTTAACTACTTTGAATATTCTTTCAAGCATTTATGGATTATTTCATGCCATCAATATATTTCTTTTATTTTTTTAATATTTAATATTTTATTTAATTTTAGTTTTAGATGGTACTAGTTATCACATAGCCAATGATTTAAATATAGCTTTTAATAGTACGGTTTATTGATAAATTTTTCCCTCCATTCTATTGTGATTTGACAATTTTAGACTCTTAGTATCAAATTACAGAATTTAAATCCCAAACTAATTTTTTTTTGGAAAAATTGATCAAACTTTCCTAATTGTCATTGTATGTAACGCTCAATTTGGTTGACTATTATTTGGAATGCCAAAATGATATTAATTATATTTAAAAATGTAAAAGTATTTTTAGCCTCCCTAATCTTGAATTTTTTTAAAAAAATTTTATAAAAATTTTATAAATTATATATATATATATATATATATTATAAAAATAAATATTTTTAACCCTCCAAATTTTGAAATTTTTTTATTTTTTTAAAATATTATAAACATTTTATAAATTTTTTATAATTTATGACTTATAAAATTAGGGGGTCAACCCTTAATTATACTCATTTTAATTTATAAAATGTATTTTAAAGACTTGAAATTGTGTATTGTTAATTATTTTTTAAAAATATTTTTTATAAAATGTTTATAATATCCGATGATCATTAAAATATTTATAATATAAATTATAATATTTTATAATTAAAATTAGAATAATTAAGGATTGAACCCCCTAATTTTATAAATTATAAATTTTATAAAAAAAATTAAAAGTTCAAAATTAGGAGGGTTAAAAGTATTTATAAAATTTTTATAATATTTTATAAGAATTCTTAAAAATATTTTTTTAAAAAATATAATTAGCGAGTGGAACGCCAAAACAACCTCGTTTTGGCATTTCAAGTAACCGTCAACCTAGTTGACCATTAGATTTATCGATAATTTGAGAAATTGATCAATTTTATCAAAAAACCAAATATCTAAATTATACAATTTAGTACTAAGGATCTAAAATTCTCAAATCGCAATAAAATAAGGGCAAACTTTAATCTTCTCTTCACTATTAATAAAAATATATTTTTATTTTTTATTTTTTTATTTTCAAACAAGTTTTTACATCAGTTGTAATTTTTTTTTTAATAGATTCTTGTGGAAAAAATATTAAAGTTTTTCTTAATAATTTTAGATTCAATTTTCTATTTAGATTGTTGTTTGTTTTCATTTAAGTATGAACCGGTACAAAAGGATGAATTATGTTTTTTTAGTTACAATTTTACGGAAAATATGAAGAAAAATCATTTAAATATAAGTTTTTGATTAAAAAATTATTAAACTTGATTTTATTTTTTCTTTTAATTTGATATATTTTAATAAATTTACTACATAATATGAGATATCAAATTAAAATAATCTTATTTTATTCCATCTGCTGTATATTGCGGGCAACAAACTAATATTATCTGTAATCATAACAGAAGTGAGAAACCTCATAATTGTATACAAAACAACCCAAAACAAGATGATAGCTGGCCAGTGACTTCCAAACACAAAACATATACATTTTTTAATGGGTTACTGCTTTCCTACATCTAGTTATTTTTTTCTTTTGTGTTTAAAATATTCAACTATTATTTTTTATTTTAATATCATTCATGTATTTTATATTTTTGTATTTGTTACATCCTTTTGTCAGTTGGTTTTACTAACGCCGTTAAAATTTGACGCGGTGCAGCACAAAAAATTTCATTGATATACATTTTGGTCCCTAAAAGTTTTTAAAAATTTATATTGATCCTATTATTATATTTTTATTACAAATAAGTTCTGAATTGAAAATTTTCTGTAATCATACTTTATAAAAAATAAAATTCAGTCCCTAAATGATTTTTATCAATTAAATCCCTACATTTTAGTAAACTTGAACAAAATTCTCTATTATCTTAGATATATAAATTGTCTTTACTTTGATTTTGAATTTCTTTCTTTATACTATCTTAGATATATTATTATTTTAATAACCTAACAACAATCATTCAACCCTTACCAAATCAAGATTATTAAAAAAAAAATTATAAAACTAAATATGTCGATTTAACTCTCTTACACATCATACATACAAGTCAATTGATTCATCCTCCAAATACTAAAAAATTAGGACAAGTTGACGTATATTGAAAAAGCCAAAAAAATGAATTTTATCTCAAACCGACAGTACTTGAACTTCTTGATAATTTTTTATTGGATATATATGATTATTTTTTATTATTGTAATTGATATTATTTTGATTTCATTTAATTTTTATTTTCAATAATATTATATATCTATATGAGAATTTCGATAAAATTTATTATTTGCCATGTGAGGATTTAGTTGAAAAAAATTCATTAGGGACTAATTATATTGATTGTAAAATATCATTAAAAAAATAAAAAATAAAACTACATTGATGTAGAGAATCATTGACCCATTCTTTTAACACAATAGCAAAGTGATCCAACGGGGAACATAGTTTATTGTAGGAGTACGGCAGCACTTCAAATCATTGATACTGTCATCGCCAAAGTCTTGCTTTCAAGTCTTGCTCTAAAATCATGCAAGTTGCAGCAACAGGCTATGGCAAGCCTCCTTGGAGATTTAGAGGCAGGCATGCATATCCTACATCAATCCTTTAGTTTTCCATAGTCACGACACTGTTACTATAGTTAGTTAATGATCATAAAGACTTCATTTCTATTAATGATTTGATTTCTTATTTGCAGTGCCTTGTACCAGCTCCATCTTGTGAAAGCTGAAACTGCTCGAGCATTCATTCCAAAAGAGTTGAAATTAGTTGAAGCTTTCGGGTATGTGTTTTTTGCTAGTGAATTATTGTTTTCTTCTGAGTAAATTAACTCGGAAGTGGCAAATGATGGGAATGATTAATTCCAATATTTCATTTTTTTCACTGATAATTCGTGTTTCCGCACTGCAGATACACTCTTGGTGGATTTTTTCTTGCTAGCTATGAAGATAGTCCAGATGGCGCTTTCGATGAGGTTGTGTTACTGCGAAATAACTTCATTGTTCGTATTGCACGTTGTTGCTTAAAGCCTTTTACAACGAAAATTACTCAGAAAAATTTCTTCCTTTAGGACTTAAACAAAAATAGAACATATTAATCTTTGTTAATTTTAATCATATTCAAGCATGGATATCTTATATCTAAAATCACTGTGTCTCCTTCTCGTATGGCTTGAGAAATTAATGAAGCATTGAATATACATCTAGGGGGAAGAAAAAGGATGACAATTATAGAAAACAAGATTAGGCGATTCAAGATGATTATTTGATCTGTAGCACAAATAACAATATGCTTTTCTTTCCGCGCTACTGCAGCTCGTGGTTATTGCAGGACATGTGCAGAACCTCCAAAAGCCTTCAGCGTAAGTTTACCATCCTTATGTCCTCTCTTAAATTGCTTCTTCTTTTTCTTTTTCTTTCTTTTTTTCTCGATAAATCCCATGCCTATGCTAATGAGTGGAAATTGTGATTTTTTTTTTTTTTTTTTTTGTATGTGTGAAAGGCAGTTTTTTTTTTTTTTTTATTCAATGAATAGGAGGGTCCGTCGTTTTCTAGGAAAGTGAAGAGTAACAATAACCTAAAAAGAATCTGTAATTTTTTTTATTCAATGAATAGGAGGATCGTCGTTTTCTAGGAAAGAAAAGAGTAACAATAACCTAAAAAGAATCTGTCAGCTGATCACATAAGTTTATAATTTGCATCTCCAAATCTTGGTAAAGATCTAAATCTATTATTTGATATTATTTGACCGACAACTACCAATATAATTGCAACATTTAATCAGTGGGACCACTGGGCATCCGGCTGCTGACAAAACTTGTTCGCATTGGATAATGATTCAGTACCATGAAAGGGTTTTTAGACTGTTGCAGAATTTTGAACCCATCCATCAAACCTCTCTGTGATTTAACTAGCAGTCTTGACGTGCATTCCTGCGTCTCCAAGCTACTCTGCTGCTTGTAAGTAACACCCCCTTGCTTCTGGGGCCGTCAATGCTTTTGCCTTTTTGCTGGTGTGGGATTAAAGGGTTTATTGGCAGGTTTTGCTAATGAACTATTAAGTTGTGATAATTTGAGCCTCACTTTTGATTTTGAACTATCATATTTTGAATAAATATTATCTCTTTATTTGATTTGTTCGTTTGTATGGGAAAAAAATTCCTTTAAAAAAAAAAATACAAATTTTGTGGTATTTCATCTGAAATTTTTTATAAAAGTTAATTAAAATTCAATCTCCTTTCAGAAAAAAATTTCAAATTTTGTTGACTATGCATGTATTTTTTTTTCTGAACAATAAAAAGTTAATAAATTAAAAAATAGAAAATAAGTTGGAGTTATTATTTATTTTTTTTTTGAAACCTCTAAAACGATGATATGAATTCTCGTAGATTATGTTAGTACATTTCTCAAATTTTTTACATATATGATTTTTAAAATTAATCTATTTAAGTTTTGTTAGGTGTTACGTATTTTAGAAATCATATTGAGACTAAATAAATAAATTATATGAATTTTTTTAGGCCTCCCAATAAAATTATTTCGAACTATCTTTTATTTTTTTCAATTTTCTTAATAGTTAATGTTGAAGAAAAATTAAAAACTGCTTCTTCACTTAAAAAAAAAATTAATCATTTTGAAAAGCATATTGAATTTGTACTAGTATATACGTAAAAAATTTTAACTCAAAAGATTAAAAATTAAAAATTTTAAAAGAGTTTTTGATTAACGATAACGGTTAAACAATATTTGCTCAAATCATAGTAGTTTAAAGTCAAAATTAACCCGTTTGGTAATATATATCTTAATATGCCACAACTCCAATTATTCGTGGATGAAAACTGCCATTAAACAGAGATTAAAGATGGCCCTATGACCGTCACGTGGTGGAATATGCATGCCTCATCATTGTCGATGAGACAATGTGATCACTGTGCATAAGATTCCAATGTCATTAATTTATCTTGAAACCTTTTACACAATTTCTTGTTTGTTTCTCGCTCCTGGGAAAAAAAACATATATTTACTGTTTTTTTCCTATTTTGGTTGAGTTATCTAGATTGAGGTCTAGATGTTAGCAATAAACTTAATAAAAAGGATGTCCACATGGAAGAAAAGAAAAGAAAATGAATAAGGAATCTCTAAGCCTCTAACTGTACATATGTTTTATGTTGAAGCAGCATTGGCGTCCTCTTAGCCTATTCTAATAATTTTTTTGACACATTCTCCGAAATCTGGCCAGCAAAACTGTAAATAAGACCCGCATTCACGAAATCCTACTAGTATGGTTAGTTAGCGGGGCGCTGATGCTGAAGCTGAAGGAAAAATTGGCTATGTGTCGGTTTAGAGCTGAAACTTTATTTATGTCAATTTAATCCCTAATCAGTTGTACACATAGGTGATTGGAACATTTATGATCATTCAATTTTACCTATTTCAACTTTTTAGCTTTAATTGGGTGGTGATCTATTTAGTTTTCAACTCAAGATTATAGAATAATTTAATAATTTATCCAACGTATATCAGTATTTGAATAATTGAGTGATGGAATTAAATGTTTAGGTAACAACATAACTACATGCATGTCAGGATTTCAATTATTTTGAGTTTTTATACTATTTAAAATTAAAATTGTATATCTGAATATTTAGTTCATTTTGATCATTTACATAAATCATTTTAATTATGTGTTTGTGATAATCATTCTCTTAGTACTAAAACAAATAGATAATCATTTCCTTCGATTAATAATTTCATGACTTGAAATCCTATCATAATAACTATAAATTTATTCTCCAATCCACTGTAGATTTTTGAACATAGTTATGTTCAGACACAAAATATTTTTAAAGTCAATGATCCGACACAATTCCGGAATATGCTCTTGAGCATGTTATGAGAAAATAACATGCATTATCTCTTCACTGGGATCGAGCTACATAGTATCAGCAGGGTAGACAGACTTAAGGACTCGTATATCTCCTCTGTTGACCAACCATACGTACTCTCTACTTTAATTAGGGGTCATTAATTAATTATCCAAACTCAATTAATTGGGGTCTATTTGCATCACAGATGGGCTGCCAGGGTGTTTGTGAGTAGTGACGCTGCTTGTGATAATGGACGAAAGGTAAAATATTCACCAAAACTTCTTTTGTAAAATCTGAAATTTTGTTTATTTATTTAATTAATTTGCATAGGCATTGGACAAAATATGGTTAGTCAAGTAATGTTTTAGAAAGAATAAATTATCATATAACATGAAAAAATTAATACATTGTTTTATAATATAGAATTCTAATACTACAGCATCAGCATCAACACGCAGTAAAATGCTAAAACGTACTTAAACAAGCAAAAACAAAAATCTAATAATTAGTCCGTTTTAAAAAATTTTTTGGATAAATTATAACGACTCCTTGAAATATAATGAAATTACCTAAATTACTATAAAATGTAAACATATTACATAAAATCTACTTCTATATCCAAAATATTCTTATTATTTTACTATTTAAAATTAAATTATTTTAAAAATAGTAATGATATTTTAGACAAAAAAATGATTTAATATTTTTTTCTTAAAAATTGAGAGGCTTTATGTTAAAGCATCAAACTTCTGAGTAATCTTCGTGATTTCGCAATATTTGAAGGTTACGGTGATTTACCCATTTTCTTATTTATTTATTATTGAATCAGTTCCCTTAAAAAGAACTATTATTATCACGTTGGCTGTTAATTACGTACGTAACCGGGTCAGGCTATTAATTGGTTTGTACCTTGCTGGTCAAGTTCCCTGTTTCCACTTCCAAAAATTAATGATATCGATTTCATCCTTATCCTTGTGGTGATGCAATAAATAAATAAATAATATTCCTAAAATAGCCTCTTTTCCAATCTTTGAGGAAGGTGAGATTCTTGTTATATTTAAAATAGAGACTGGGTTTTACTTAAAAAAGCATAAAAGTGATATATATTATTTCATTTACAAAACAAAAATATTGAAAACAAAAAACTATAATGTATATACGAATCTTAATTTATTGATTGTTTAGTAATTCTGTTTTTTTAAAGGCTATGTAATGTTTTCATTCTTGTTTCTTTTTTCGATATTTATATTAATTAAAAATTTTGGTTTTATCAATAGAAAAATTCATTTTTTTCAAGTAATTATTTTTATTTTCTTTGAAACAATGAATTTAAGTTAAGTAAAATTATTTCCAACAGTAACCCCAACATAATAATTAATTTCTTAATACAATACAACGGTCACAGTAAGGGCAAGTCTGATGCTACTCTGCTCGTAATGCATCCACTTATGCATTGAGAATGCAACATAACAACAACAACCATTTCAATTGATAAACTGATAACAAAATTTTGCTCTCCTGCAGGCATTTGGAATTTCTACGCAGGTTGCCCAGTTTTCAAAGGTGATCTTTATTAGACATTCTTCACTAATGGTTCATTTTTCTGTTTTTTTCTTGATATTCGTTCTTCAGTAATGTTGCAATGAAAGTAAATGGACCAAACGAATTGTTCTAGTTTTTAACGGGGAAAGGGGAAAGATTTTCATTCCCCACGAATACTTTGCCCCTGGATTCTTCCCTGCAATCGCATGCTTCTAGGTCTCACAATGACCTTATAAAAGTTTTTCTCAAGGATTTTCTATCAAAGTAGGGAATAAACATCTTGAAAGTCAGGAATGTGTCTATCAACAGGTGATTGCGAGCTCCGTATACATCGTTTCACAGTCTCTTCTTTAGTTTTTTCAACACTGGCTACTTCCCGGATTTGTCCAGCAGTAACTCCCTAATCTATAGAAAAAGTAGTCTCTAATTATATTAGCTTGACTACTTGTTTGTATTATCAATCTTCAAAATTTTGGTTTTTGAGCTTGCAGAATATTAATAGTTCCCAAAGCTTGAACGTCTTGGCTGCTCTGTTTCGACTTCTGTATATGCTAATTAATTACAGTGGTTATGGTCGAGCCTTTACTCAAAAGTAGTGCAAGCGAGCAAACCATTGGCATTATAAAATTTCTCTAATTAACGATCAATTTTGATAAGATCTTAATTTTCGAATTATTATTAATGGTAGGATGGTTTCCAATATTGATTGATTGTATGATTGATATATCTCATTGTGTAATGGATCGATGGTGGATACTTACAAAACAAATCTTCTTCTAGTGTTTAAAGGATCCTTCAATAACTAAATTAATATATAAAGAGAAAGTGTTCGACATGAATAGGCTTAATAGTATTTTGCTATTAATAGTAAAAGATATATGATATTATGTCAGTTTTGGAGTTTAGGAGGTAGAATTTATAATATTTAAGGTGTTGATCTTTTTATAACGGAGGAGATGATCAAAACATGCAAGGATAGATTGATCATTTTATTTATTTGTAACAACTTTTGACATCCATTTATAAGTTTATGATTCTTTTAGAGGAATATCTCGAATTATCAATCAATGTTTAATCATATTTGATGATCATATGACAGATGCTCTCTGAAGTTATGTCTAGTTTCAATACATGTTTTTTTTATCTGACAAATGGGAAGTAGAGTTATGTCCGGGCTGTTTGTTGGCACTAAACGTTTTGGTTTGATCAGGTCATGAAACTTTTAGCGATTGATCAAGTAATCCCATCTGTGACTGTGTTATGGGCGGGTTGGCCTTTTCCATAGTGTGGGAGGACATGTGTTGCAAGGCAGATTATGTAGATACGTTTGTAGCCCTCTTGAGTCTTTGACACAAGTAAACTTTGGCTAAGACAAATTATGTCTAGGTATCGGAGGATGTTCGGGGTAACCAGTGGCATTTTACCTTTCGTTTTTTAGATTTGACGCCAATGGGTGTATTGCAGGCTAATTTAATGCTTGTAACTTCGATAATTGTGTGGACATGCGGGAAGACTAAAAACTCATGCGTGAGAGTCTTTGAGAAAATCAAACCGATTAGACATGTTGGAGTCTCCTCTGTTTGAGTCTGTTTCAACTAATTGTGGGACAAGTGGCGATGAACAATTGGTCCACGTCAGGTAGGGCATGCCCATTAGGCTTGGACTCTTGAATACCCAGCACAAAAACTTTCTCGTTCTTTTGCTCATAAGTAGCCGTTGGCATCCATATTTCTTCACTTTCTACTAATTTTGTTTCTGTTGTTATGAACTTTTAGAGGCTGGTGAGGATTACCGGTGAGTTGGTGATTGATTGAAGTTCTTATTAAGGGAGATGTTTCCTCTTAAGTTTTCTTTTGGTTGAGAAGATCTTTGGCGATTGTGACTGTTTTGAATGTATTATGGGCTTTCGTGGAGTGTTTCTCTTTCTTTGGCGATTTAAGTAAAGTTTTGATAGGTGCTTCTTTTCTTTCTCTTCTTCTTTGTGTTTAACTAGGAATGGTGGATTTAGAGAGAGTTAGAGATGCGTCTTGGGCTGCTCCTAGTGATAAAGGGGTAAACCCTAAAATGAATGTGGTTTCCCCTCTAAAGATGCACGAGGGCCTGTATCTGTCTTTGTTGGTGGTAGTAGGGTTCAGGAAAAAGGATTGCAACATTTTTTTCTTTATTTAAGGTGGGATTACCTCGCTGTTATCTCTAGCCCAATCGATAGGAGGAGGAGATTAACATGTAGGAGCATTGATGCAAATAGTGAGATCACTGTTCCCACTTGTATGATTGAATACAATTACAGGCTTTCTATGTCTAGGTTTGTGCAGGAAGTCTTTCAACAATTTGGCATAAGTCTCTATCAGCTTATTCTAGATAGGTGGGTCGTTCTTGCTGCTTTTCACAACTTTTTTCGACAGCTCAGGATCATCCCGTCTCTGAAGCTTTTCCTATATTCTTATTCTGAAACAGGGGAGTTAAGATGGTAGCAGGAGGTCTCATGTGCACACCTTTTTTTATCAGGAAGGCTAGTCCTCTGAATGAGGTGTTCGTAAGTGCCACTAATCAGGTTGTGGTTCTCGGATTATTATTAATGGTTTGATGATTATTAATCTAAACGGATCGTGTGGTTGATAAATCTCGTTGTTCAATGGATTGATAGCGGATACCTGCAAAATAAGTCGTCCTCTGGTGTTTGGAGAACCCTCCGATGGTTAAGTTAGTGTATAGGGAGATGTTTGATCTGAATAGGCTTAATAGTATTTTACTATTAGTAGGAAAAGATATATTTTACTATAGTAATTTTAGAATTTAGGAGGTAGAAGCTAACACCTGGTGTTAAACTTTTTATAATGGAGGGGATAATCAACTTGTATAGTGTGGAGGGCAAGTCGATCCTTTTCCTTGTGTGTAACAACACATCCACCTGCAGGTTTAGAATTTCTTTAGGCGAATATCTTGAATTATTAGTGTATGTAATTATGTTTGGTGATTACGTGACAAACGCTCCATGAAGCCATGCATTCATTAAATACATGTTCTTTTTATCTGCCAAGTAGAAATGAGAGTTATGTCTGGACCGTTTGTAAGTACTAGACATTTGGACTTTGTCAGGACACGGAACTTTTAGAGATTGAGCAGATAATCTCGTCTATAACTGTGTTGTGGGCGGGGTGGGTTTTCAATGGTGTAGGAAGCTGATTATGCGGGTATATCAAATTTAATTCGTTTTGGATTTTTTGAAACAGAAAATCAGAGCGATTCCAAGGCAACGCAAGAGTAAATATAGTGAATTTCTTGACATGATTGGTTTGGGTACAACGCTCAATAGACCAAAGGATTACATGGATGTTGTTCGTGTGGCTGAAACTGATGGTCTTTCTGCAACAGAACATGTCTGTAATATCTACCTTCCAAATGTTGGTAAGTTGATAACTTCGTCTTGGTCAATTGTTTCTTGCTAGAAGAGTCCATCGTCAGTCCAAAGTTAAGCAGCACAATACCATAACGTGTGAGACATAATCCCAGTTTTCTTTTTCTGGTCACGAACTAATTGGTTATGGTGATGGTGATGGCAGTTCCGGGGTTGAAATTCAACAAGTGGATGGAGCCAGAAATCAAAATGTCACTGCCATGTTTTAGGTGAATGCCCATGCGAATTGGTGTTTTAGTTTTAGAAACCTATGGTTATGCGATGACACTTATTCATGAAAAAAATGCTCAAAGAATCAGTACCAGTTGCATGGCAACTTATAATTTCTATTTGGTGAAATTGCAGTGGCCTCGCAGTCTATAATCCCAACCTTTTAAAGTATTCTTGCGATATTGAATGCAGGTACGTACCTTTTATTTTGTTTTTTCTTAAACTCATAAATAGCCAAGCCGGTCCTGCTCATCTAGTTCTCGTAACTAAACTATGTTTCAGAAATCGGAGTAATATTATGCTTATTCTGATAATTCACTTTAACGAATACAGATTCAAGAGTATAATGTCTGACTGATTATTGAAATGCTTCCTGGATAAATTGCGGCTATAGGGTGCGAGCAGTGAAGCCAGCAAAAATATCAGGGCCTTTTCCAGCACTAAATCATCGCACGTACGAAGCTATCGACTCTGCTTCTGCAGAAACTCTAGATAAAAGGCGGAACCTAATCATTTCTTTGATGTTATCAAAACCCTTAGTAGCTTTGCAGTGCAGTTGCTTGAAAATGCAGCTCGATGCCCCTGTTGTAGTTTCCTAGCAGGGTAAAGGCTCCCTTGCAGAATCTCTTGGAGTTTCTTGACCATGCATGTACTATTTCCAGTTTAAGTACCACAGATAATTTGTTATGTTGAATAAAATATCAAACAGCCTCAAAATTTTACATTTTGGACTGCTTTCCTGTACTATGATCCTAATTTGTGGATCGTGTACTACTTTTATCATGCAGTTCTATGTGGATTCTGTAAATATTCTCTCTGTAGGGAAGCATTTTTATGTGCAGGTAAATCATTGTTTATGAATAACTGCGTTTGATGAATTTTTGGATTGACAAGCTAACCGAGTCGAGTTCAGAACACACAATAAGGCAGATTCTTTCTTTACAAAATTTTTTTCTACATTCCAAAGCATGGACAAATCAAAGAAACAAAACAATCCAGTGCAATTTTCTTTCTTGGGTAACGAGAACTGTTTTTTGCAATTGCAATCCAACTCTACTTACAATTGAATCTGTATCATCCGTACTGAAGTGATCTGCACTCTGCAGGTCAGAACGCTTCTGGTAGAGGTTGGCCTCCCAAGAATGCCTTGAACAGCACAAGTGATCTTTCAGGCTGCGAAAATGGAGCTTCGTGGGATGCTCCTCTGATGGTGGCAAAGGATAGGATATTACCATAAACTTGAGTCCACCCACCAACCTTAAGGTAAAAAAACTAATCAAATTCTATCCTGTTAAAACAAATAACCCACGAATTCTTAAATTGTAATCTGCAAATGTCAGATTTACCTGCTGCCCTTCAAACCACACTCTGTAAGGCACGGTCGTTTTTAGTCCCAATTCCTCTGCTAGTCCATGAACTAATGTTCGGCTTCCAGTCAGTGGGATGACAGAATCTTGATCTCCGCTGTATTTTAAACACAAATGTCTAGTGACTTCTATGATCAACCTTGATAAAATTCCATTTTTCCAACTTCACAAGCAGAATATAGCAGACTGACAGTAAGAGCTACTTACCTGTAAACCAAGACTGGGATTCCTGCCTTTATGAGTCCTCCCACAATAGTGATTGTTGGAATCTCCAAGTCAAGCAGCGCATAATCAAGAATACTGAAATCAACACATTGAGAGCAAAATCATCAAATACCCAAAAATGTAAACGAGAAATGCTTCTAGTATCTCATCGATTTCTATCTATGGAATAAATTCTGAGATAGGCAGTGTCTTGTTTACTGCTCTAACACTAGCAAAGCTTACTGAATTTCATTTCTGTGACAGAGAATTACTTGCTGCAAACAGCCCATCGACGGACTCCAACAAGACGTGCATGGAGAGCCTTCTGCACATCTGGCCTGTTGAGATAATTAACTGTTTCATCTTCCACACATACATCTATATTGTCACCGACTTGCTGCTGACCAGAGTGAACAAATGAACAGTTAGTGACTCACTGCACCAGTGAAAAGCGAAACTCGAACAATTTTTGCAGTTAACAAATGATAGATTTTGCTTACCCGGGGACTAAGGACTTTTGACTGTGAGAGAACTGATGAAATACAGACATCAAGGGTAACATCATACTTGTCAACAAATCTACTGGTTTCTCTAGTCACTTGACCCATCACCCTTGAACATATAGGAGAAACTGAACCTCTGTAGTATTCACTTACATATCGCGAGTAGTTGCAAGCTGAAGTGAACATTTTGTACGTTGTATCTGATATCAATCCATGAGACCAGAAGAACTCAGCCCTCGAATTGAAGTCTGTGGAATACTCTAAAACTGGATTCCCCAGCTGCAATTTAATAGATTAAGTTTAATTGAAAATAAAAAGGAACAAAAGAATTCTCAAAAACAAAAAGTAACTTGTGAGCAGAAAAGGAGGCAAAACAGGTACAACCTACAAATGAAAAACAGAATTACTGAAAGAGCATGGAGGGAGAATTTTTTTTTTTTTCCTATTACTACTCACAGCAATTCCTTTCAAATTGAATAACTTCTCCTTTTTGTTGAATTGAAGGATGAGTTCTGCCAGCTGGGGCACATAATGACCTGATTATGAACAGAATTGACGTACTAGATTAATCCCCATTTATTTCTAACCAGTTTTGACTGAAAGAGAGAAGATATCAAAATTTTGATTTGAGCATGAAAACAATACCAGCATAGCTTTCTCCTGTAATGAACAAACTTCTGTTTCTGTATTGTGGGAACTTAACAAACCATTTTTGCAAGAACACCAGATTGTCCCTAGCTATAGGTAACAAAAACAAAAATAGCTTCAAAATGAGAGGTGAAATGTCTGTAAAGGTGACCTTTTGTCAACTCAGAATCTAAACGACTAAAAAACAAGCACAGTAAGTACTGAAGATGCATATCTGTAAAGTGAAAAAGGAAATTGTATAATGCTGTGGCATAATGAGATAAGAATAATATTCTTTCTTTCGATCACCAGTCTACAAAGAACTCAAATGATTTGAAAAAAAAAAACAGATAAAAAAGAAGAAAGAAAAGAAAAGAAAAGAAAACCCAAAGAGATAAATAAATTGAGAAAACAACAGAAATAAAAGGTTTTTTTAAAAAAAAAAGAAAAGAAAAGAAAAAGAAGTTGACTTTGAATCTTCGGTACAGAAATTCTGTTTCTTGTGTAATTCAAAATTTTGAATATACAGTATTTATTTCCCTTTACTTTAGCAAGTTTCAACGTGAAAATGAGAAAGGAATAGACATTTTGGATTCGAAAGGCCAATTAAACTTAACAGACAAAGAAAGAAGAATCAAGAACTTGGTGAAAACGAACCAGTGATCTTGTCATCGACCCCTTCATATGAAGAGGTATTTGTGGAGTAAGAGAACCCAACTCCAATTGGTGTCTCCAAATACAACATATTGGCTTCTGCAAAGCAATGATAATTTAGTTAAAGATCAGAACTTGTGGATTGTTTTTCAGTGCAAAGAACCAAGTAATATAAACATGTACGTATGTACGTACACTTAATTTACCTCTATTCCAGCTATATTGGTTCTTGACCAATGCCTCCCCACTAGGCCTAAATGGTCCATTCTCAGAAAATGCCCCAACTCCCAAAGAAGAGCAACCTGGCCCTGCAAACAACAATGAAACACATTGAGAATCAAAACCCAGCAGAAAAATCTATATTTTGTCAAGAATTAGTAGGATAAGACAGGATTAGGACTTGGAATCTGATACCTCCATTTAGCCAGAGAACAAGAGGCTTAGAAGCACAGTCTATTTCAGCTTCAGCAAAGTAGTAAAAGAGAGCTTTCTGTGTTTTCTCATCAACGGTCACGTAGCCTGAATACTGTTGGAACCAGACTGGAGGTTGACCTGGTAACTGAGTTATTCTGTCTAACTGGGAAAGACTAGACTCTACTCCTACGAAAAAGCAAACAAGTAAAACTAGAGGCAATGTCACTATTTCTTTTGACAGATAAGGCATGGCTTCACACTTGCTTGCAAAGAGCCAAGAGGGAGAGAATGTGTAAAAAGAGGAGAGAGAGAGAGAGAGAGAGAGGCAACTGAGATGTTGCTCAGCGGGGGGCATTATATAAAGACTAGGAAAGAGAGCAGAGGGAGGGAGAAGAGAGTGAGTCTGGGTTTTGGTGGGGTTCTTCTCAATTTTTTATTTTAAAATGCACTCATTAAATTTTGTCCCTTTGAGAGGAGAGGCTTGGAGCAGAAGCAGATGCGTGTGAGTTGTGTGCTGACTTGGTGTCTCCAGTCAGCAAATGATGTGTGTCTGTCGAGTGAAAATGAAAAGAGAGAATGTGCTTTAAAGGCCTGAATTTGATCACAGAAGTTACAGCTACCATACAAACTATGCTTGTTTTTATTATTTATTACACCAAGGAACGAGCCCCTATATATATATATATATATATACTCAGTACCTCAACAGTGTCAGCTTTGGTACCATACAGTGTGCTTCCACAGAAAGGAGCTTTTTTTATTCTTTTTCTCAGATTAGACGACCATTTTTTTGGTGAACATGACAGCACCTGTAATCATATCTCATGTACAATAAATTTGCTCTCTCAAGAAAAGGTTAAAATTAAAAAAAAAAAAAAGGCTAAATCTACTATTTCTATTTCCATTCCGAGTTTTTATAAATCCATTGAATAATATTTATATTTTTAATTTGATCAATTAAAAAATGTATATTTTGAATGTCAGTTGTTTAAGTATGATTTTGCAAGATCAATAATTTGTATATGTTAAGTCAAATAAAAATATAATATAACTATATAAAGTGAAATTTATATGCAGTATTTATACACACATGTATCATATTTTTATTCTGTCTAACAAATAAAAATGGTTAGTTTTGAAAAATTGTAATCAAATAGTTAAAATTAAAAATATACATATTTAATTAATCAAATTAAAAAATACAAAGACATAACAGAACGCAAATAGTCGGTTTAGCCAACAAAGATGGACGGAATCATTATTCATGAGTTTGGTTTTCCCATAAAAATTGGCTTTAGTCATTAAGCCTGCATCGTATGTAACGAAGTACAAAGCCCAAATCTTTATTTTACATTTCTCTGGTTCGTTGATGAATCTGAACCACTGTTGGAGACATAATGAAGATAAAATCCAATGATGGTTAGACCACATCAATAGTCTGCAGACGCTGTATTAATAGCCAAGTGGATTTACTTGAACAAAAAGAGTTTTAATCACTCAAATAAGTGATTTTGGTTCAAAATCTTTATGCATGTAAAAAAAATTCTTTAGATAGATGTTTTTATTTACATTATGCGTTCGATCAAAAAACGAGTTATTAATTTAGATTTTTTGATCTAAAATACCTTAAAGATCCAAAAAAAAAAAAAAAAGAGTTAATAGTTGTAAAAGTCTTCCTATTTTTTTTATTTATCTTTATTGTATTCCTCTTTTTTTTTTTTGTCTTAAATTCATTTTTCCATGTTTGATTTTTGTCTTAATCTCATCCTTTCATTAATTTTTGGACTAACAGTGTTAACTTGTTTTTTTTGTCTTAATCCCATCTATCTATTCTTATTTTTGTCTTAACAATTTTTTTATATCGAATTTAAAAAAGAAATAAAAAATTGGAAAAAAAGAAGAAGTAAAGATATATCGATCGTTTTGTTTAAGAATTGAAAATAAAATAAAAACTAAAAAATAAGTGAAGCTAAAAATATTTTTTTATCCAAAATATCCTTTGCGTTTATCTCTATAATAATAAGCAAATTTTAAATATAAAATGAAATATTTATAGAATTTTTTTAAAATATGAAGAGATTTTTAGTTAAAATTTTAGATTTTTAGTTAAATTTTTAAACTTTTAGATAATATTTATAATTTTATAATACCTAAAAAAGAGTCTACTATAATTTATTTATTTGATTTTACAAATTTCTCATATTGACTCAAAATGAAAATATAAATTTTCTTACAAATTTTAGTCAAGTTAAGAGATTTGTTAGTGTTGAGTCCAACAATAACAAAAATTTATATTTTCACTTTTGAAACAAATTAAAAAATTTATAAAATTAAAATAAGTAAATTATAACAGAATTTTTTAAAATATTATAAAATTATAAATACCATTCAAAATTTTAAAATTTTAACTAAAACTCTCTTTATATTTAAAAAAGAATACTATAAATATTAATTTTACACTTAAAAAAAAATGATTACTATCATATAGACAAATTTAAATCCATACAAGAAATTTAATAAAAAATATTTTTTATCTTTATATTTTTTTATTAAAAAAAGTTAATTGTTTGAATGATGGGTTAATAATTTTTTTGATTTTTTCATATGTGTCCATATCACATTAAAGATAAGATTAATCTTATTCAAAACGATAATGATAAAGTTTAACTCATTCCAACAAGTGTAATTTCAATATTCAAATCTTACATATTGATAAAAAATTTGTCTGAATATTGACTCTCTTACCGCTTGAACGAATAACTTATTGGTGACGGGTTAATAATTTAAAGTTATTAAATTATCATTTAAATTAATCCCATAAAACAGTTAATAGTTTGAATGAGGAATTAATAAGGACAAATTTGTTTCTATGATAGTAAACAAATTTTTTAAAATTTATTTATTTAAATTTAATAAAAAAATATTAAGATAGAAAAATAGAATAAAAAGATGAGGTTAACACGGGAAATTTTTTTTTTTTTTTTGATATGGTTAATTTAAAAATTAATAAAAAAACCAGATTAAGAAATAAAGTGAACACAAAAAAGTAAATTTAAGAAAAAAATGAAGATGATTAGGATAATAAGAAAAAAAGTAGAAGAAACTGTGCAATCACTAGCTCAATAAATATTTTAATGATATTTTAACTTCATATTATTTCTGCATAGTAAAGAAGAATCTTTTGGGGTGATTTGCTTTGTTTGACCTGTCTGAAAAGCCTTTCATTTTGTCTGACCACTGTGGAAGTAAAAGAGTCTTTTCTTGCTACTCAATCAACCCAATTCATTCATCAATCCTCTCTCACTCCCTCTGGCTCTCTGGTGTCAATGGGACCTAAACATGGGCCATAGAAACACTAGAAATAATAATAATAAATTACCAATTAAAAGTTGCCATGTATCATTTATTTTATTTTACGTCAGAAAATAATACAATAAAATAAAAATAGTTGACATGACAATAAATGGGAGTCGATATATTCAATAAGCAATATCAGATTGATACCTAAAACATAATTCTTTTATTGATAAAATATCATGTCATTGAAACAAAATTATCGGTATAAAAATCAGCCAATAAAATAACAATATTTAACAACGACAAATTACCTGACTGATTTTTCAAACCTCTATAAATAGAAATCTTCGTTTACTCTAGTTTCTGTCGATTACGCTTGAAGTTTTTAAAGAATGAAATTTTATCGGATCAAACCTAGTATTTCATATGATGAATACTTTCACAATACACCAAATCTCGACTTGTATTCTTGAAAAATTCAAGTGTGAACAAATTAATTTTTAGAAAGAAAGAATTAAAATTTTATATATTTTTCTTTTAAACAATATTTAATAAAAATTATTATTTGTTACTCTTTTGTGTCTGTTTAATTTCAAGTACAAAATTTATGTGAACGACAATGTTAATTTAATTATTTATAATAAATATAATTTCAAAATTTAAATGTTAAGTATTAATAAAAAAAATCGTATGGAGATCAATTTGGTTATTGCTAAGCTAACAATTTAAAAGTACACATCGCTTTCTTTCTTGCCCTATATATTTTTATTCCTCAGTGAAGCCAATACAGCTACGTCACCTAGTTATAAATGTATGTAGATGTTGACAATTTATTCTTGTTCCTTGACCTCTGAATGCAAACAATGCCAGTCATATGAACAAAATCGAAACTAGTTAATTTGAAGTTAGTAATTTTAGTTTATTGATGAACTAATTAATCAATCCCTATAGTAATAAAAATATTTAAATAGCCATCCTCAATTTAATAGTTTTTTTTAAATAAAAAATGCCTTATTTTTTAACCAAAAGTTCTTCATCTTACTTCTTTCTCTTTTCTTTGATCTATTTTCAAATAAAAAATAAATTAGAAAAGAACATCAAATTAACAGAGGGACTAAGTTGAAAAACAAAGAGATTAAATATCTAATATTTGAAACTACAAGAATTAATTAATTAGTTTCATTAAATTACAAATACTAAGTTTAATTAACTGAACAATGCATAGCTTTAAAAAGGAAAAACTGATGGTCTAAGCACATGTAGAGTGCAGCGCCTTGTCCAAGTCGATCTTGCAATGAAATGAAGTGAAATGCCAATTATATTTACGTATCAGAGAATATTTGCAGTTGAATCCATTAAAAATCAAGATAACCATGTTGTGGATGGCCCTCCCTTCATCAAGAGACAGATGAAATTAACAATCATATTTTTTTCCCTCCCTTCATCACGTGACAGATGAAATTGACAATCATATTTTTCTTTGATAAAATTTCTATATTTATTTTTCTGTTAGTTTCAATTATTCATTTTTTATTTATTTTTAATTTGATCAATTAACACTTATATTTTTTATATTATTAAATACTTTTGTTAATAAAAAATAATACTAAATTGGGTTTCATCAAACATGGCAAAGCCTAGTAGGTTGGACTTTACTACAAAAAGTCAAACTTGCAATCCAAGTAAAGATCTTGACATGTGAACTGAAATCATCACAAATTATTGAAAGTTACACAAATCACTATAAATAAATAAGCCAACTTAAAATAAACCGAGTATTCTGTACACTACAACAAAATTGAGACTTGATCGACAGATTTTTCCCTCGGCAAACCTATACATTACACCGCTTTTTATTTTTTAAGCGACGACAATAATCCGTCGAAAAAATACTTATTGCTAATAATTTTAACGATAAAAATTAGAATTCGTCACTAAATTAACAACAAACAA